TTCAACAAGCAATCGAAACAATGAAGAATTTTCGAGAACAGAGAGGTCTGACGTCATCCTGATGACCAAGTCCAACAAGTCTTATAAGTGATGATTTTCTTCCTATTCAGCGCAGGGGGTACTTAAACTCGCCAAGACATCGGGAACCAAAGACTTCAGTCATTAAGCAGTCAATAATCAATCTCCCAGTCAGTTAAGAATGAACCTTAAATAAATGAAATTCCGACTACTGGGTCGAATAACTGAATTGTGCCTTGCGAAATTTTCGCGTGCTCTCGATGGCTGCTCAAACTACGGCGTTATTTGTCGTGATGTTGCTGCAAAGAGTAATGCTGCTCAATCTAACGAGCCTACAAATACAAGTCGAAAAGTGTGAACCGATCGTTATGGCAACGACAAGAGGTTGAAACAGGAATCACAAAAAGTAATCGACAGAATAGCTGTAGTTGTTGGATATTTTAGATATGTCATTGCACGGTGCTTATTTCAATCCATACAGAAATGCAGAAAATAATCTTGTTCGATTCGAGCGCTCAGTTTTTAAAGGAGTCCAGTCCGACGTGAAATATACTTTACATGATGCATAACATTTCTACAAATGTTTGGTAGGAAATTCAAAATATACTTCCGCGTTCATAGAGCGTATAAAAGAGTATTGATAGAGCCTTCGTTGAAGGCGATCAATTGACGACTCGTATCACTAAATCATTCCCAAATGTTTCAAATTAATAACGAACCCTATCTTTCTCACCTTTTTCCTTGCTCAGCTACAACTCTGATCGAGTACAGTCATGCCTTCTAATAAACTCTAGATGTTTAGAAAGTTATTGACATCTATCACTTCTTCTAAACGTGCACGTGGTCAGGCGTTCATCCAATTAGATTTGGTTATGACCTTCATTAATCGCGTGACTACTGATTTTCACATAGCGTGACATGGCGATTCATGAAAGATTGTTTCCTTTCCTTTGTTCTTCACACTTTTCAACTGATACAAAAGACTATGCCGTAGATTTAAATCGACGACTATTGAGTAAGATGTTGTTGCTGTTATCGCTTAGAAGAAGAAAAAAAAAAGGAAAGGAAAAATCGTTCACATACCTTTAAGAAGATGAAGTGCGACTTTTTTAGTCAGGATTATAATAATTTAACTTCGACAAGTTGACCACCCAAAAAATTAATGTTTGCACGACATACTCACCACGACGGTGTCTACACATCCACATACATCAGTCAGTCACTAAGTGTGAGATACCTACCTTTATTTATATTCGGGAGTCGGCGTCATATCGAGTATTGGTGATTGTCTCGTTTTCAAAGTACATGCCTCTCTGTTCGAGAAGTTGAAGTATATGGGATGTAAATTTCACAATTTTCTGTACGAACAGCAAAGCATTAAATGGGAGCAATACATAATTTTTTCAAAGTTTATTACTTGTTCAGTTATATCTCAGCACTAAATAGAGACACCCGGCAGATTCACTTTACAACGAAAATGAGAAAAAATATACAGAGGCAAACCACTGGAAAGTTCTCAGGAAATGCTCAATCAACGAATTCATTAGCAACTCAAACAAATTGTGTTAACCAAAACCAACATAATCCTAGATTTAAATCATGGTGTCTCCACTATGGGGTCATAACCTTAATGAAAGATAACAAAATGTCGAAACAATTACTGTATTTTATCTAATTTCATATCATGTTATGGCCAAAAGTGTTACAAATAACTAAATTATGCACATTCCATTACTCAGACTACAGTTGACTATACCACTAAAAAATTTTTCTCTTTTAATAAGGAACTATCAGTACACTGCTTGGTCTATCCCGTGCACTTCAAACGTAAGCATTTTTTATTGCCTGACTGGTAAAGACAATACTAACCTAAAGTCTTACAAAGTAGTTTTTTGTGTGTGCATTAGAGGTAATAAATTTCCCTAAAACTATGTGACTAAAATATAAGGTTTACATGTAAGACTTTTGTTCTTAAAAAAATACTAATAACTGCTAATTTCTGGCTTGAAAGAAATAAAAATCTTCATTCTAATATCTGATAGTTAAAAGTTGAAGAACTCTAAGTTCATACAACGATACCTCATAAACACATTATACCTTTGCAAAAATGATCAATCTTTGCCCAACAAAGAAGAATTTACTGAGTGGTATGCTGATGAGTAGAGCAATTAGCTCTCTGCTTTGCAATTTGTGAAATTATCCTCTCAGAGATAAAGCTTGGCCCTCAGTGAGTTGCTGTATGATGGAACTTGAATGTAACTCTGCAAACCATCTCTTTCGGCTTTTTCAACCACACGTCTGGTTACCTCTGGCAACATCTCTGTCAGATGGCTCTCCTGGTGATGTTTTCCAAGAACTTCCACAAGAGTCTGATCAGGACCAAAGTTAAAGATTAGTTGTTGCCCCTATTGACATTTGGGGGCCCTCCCAGTTCTAAAAAGCTTCGGTCCATAACTACTGGACTTAAAAAGGATTGATGAGTGCATAATATCTCCTTACAATATCAACACATTGGCACCTAAGTAGCAGTGAGAATTAGAAATTATCAACTGGGAAGGTACTTTCTTGATACAAAGGCAAATTATCATGTCAGTGATATGTAGCAGTCAGGAAAGAACTGGCAAATACGCAGCTTAAGAATGACAGCGTTGAGTGATTTATGTAGGATTACCTCTCCAATAATGACACCAAAATCTTTACCAAAAAAAACTATCCTCTTAGCTGATCATAACAGTAAAATACCCAGTATGCAGGAGGACCAGGCCTTAGAAATTATAGAAACAAAAAGCTGCTAATAATAATAATGATGATGATGATAACAACAACAACAATAAAAAGCATAAATAAACATTTTCATACTCACCTGAATGAATGGTGTACCGTGATCTTCATCTCGGTAGGAATAATACCCAGGGGTAGTTGCAAAGGCCAATAAAAAATCAGCTTCTTGTGGGCTTGTCCCTCTTGAGAGGGTGGAGTCAACACGAAGCCTACTCACAGTGTTGTCAATATGACGTCTCTCATGCTCCAGAAATTCTGAGGAAGAACCCCTACAGACTTGAAAAATAAACACCTTGGGTTTTCCTTCAAGTGTTTTGCACCTTGCAGCTTTAAATTCGGACATCATTTCTTCAACAGTTATATTTCTTTGATCCACACCTAAGATAGTATCATGGTCTCCTCCGTGGGACATTACAATGACAAAGAGAGCATCAGATTCACTGTGATTCTCACTTGCTATGGTCCTTACAAGATCTCTCATATCACGTGATTTAAGATTTTGGTAGATTTCCACATCAAATGAGAGGTACTCAAAGAGGGCTTCCAGGGCTTGTTCATCAAACTCAGCACCAGGGCGATTGTAGGCTTTATCCTGGAATTCTGAGTTATTTATGATGATACACTTCCCTCGAGGGTTTCTGTTCATTCCATAACTTTTAAGAGAGGACCCTAGCAAAAACATTCAAAGAAATAAAAATATAAATCATGTGCCTTTCACTTAATACATTGTAGATCTCTTGGAATTCTCAAGGGCAATAGCACCACAAATTTTTGAGGTGAAACAAAGGGTTAATCATTTATAATTGCAATTAGCTCTGATATTCCGTGATACACCAAGTACATCAAGCCATATGCCAAATTATTTCAAAGGAAATAAAACCTGATGTTCGTAAAAGCATCATTGTTTTCTTTTGCTCAATGCCCTCTTGGATTGATTGGGTAGTAATACTTTCCAACCACCCATAGATAGTTGTTGTATTTAGCATAGGCAGTTTTTTCCTGGCAGAACTAATTTTGCATTAAAGCTTTGTTGGGGGTTGACCCCTTCTCTGAGCTTCTTTCTTAGTTTCAACCAATATTGCAACAAAATTAGGTTATTTATTGTATGATCCACACAGCCTTGAGCAGGTATTAACCTTTCAAATGAATGTATCTTGGTTTGAACTGTTTGTTTTACATTCTTCCTTCTATTACAATTTTTCCTCCTTATCCTCTTCATATATTCGCCTTAAGGCTGAAGAGTGAACTGAGAAAATTAAAATGAGTCATAAGATTTTCTATGATAAACCACTCTAAAACATTTCATATTGATCAACTAGTACATATGAAAGAAAAATTACTTATATACCAGCCAAAATTCCATCAGAACTGTCTTGTCTTCCTCCAAGGGCAAATGGGCCTGGTTGGCTAATCAAGACTGCTTCACACACAGCATAGTGTCGGTCAGAATCCCAGGATTCTGATTCAAGTCTACTTCCAAATTTGACCAGCAGAACACAATTACTAACACACTGATTGGATGAAGAAACCTGGACAGGTAATGGAACCTCCTCGACACCACCGCCCCCATTGCTCCGGCAGTTGTTCTTCAAAACACATTCCTCATCTAATAGGGTTTTAAATTTGATTTTTCTGTCCTCAAGTGTTGCCACTTTCACACTGATGAGGGCACAAGCAGGACTGGGTCCATCTTCAACATCTTGATAGATCTTCAAATTTTCAATTTTACCAGTAGGAAAGCCCTCTGCAATCCCTTGATAGACAACTGCTTTATAACCTGAACTACCAAATTGTAGTTGATAAAGAATTGTATTGATACCCTGTAAACAGAAAATAAAGTAAAACTGGTATAAGATGGATTTATTCATGATAACTTGAGTCAGTTCAAAACTTCATCACACAACACAGTACTAAAAAAATTCACTTAAACAGATGGGACCCACAAAGTCATAGCGAATGCTTGACTTTACAACACTTTTGCTGTAGAGTTAAATCCACTTTATGAGCACATATTAAGCCCCTGTTGTGTTAACATTGAAGATGAATGCCTGCTACCCTCAGTCAATTAGTGAAATTCATCCAAGAAACAAAGCATGGGGCAAACCAGTCATAATGGTGACACAATGGAAGGTAACAAACTTACAAGGGGGCAAAAGTTTCAGCAAAACAGTATAATGGAGAGATTTCCATAAAGCCCCATACTTCAACTACTGTAGTTGCAAAGGGACAAAAAATCCATTGTTTCGCCCCTGTTTTCGTTTATCTAAGTACTGCATACATAAGAAACTATGGGGTTTTACAGAAATCTTTGCCAAAAGCCATTCAGAAAACAAAACACTGTCGTTTATGCTTCGTACAGATTTGTTTCGTTTCGCGCAGGTTTTGTTTACTTTAGTTTCACGAGCACCTCCCCAGCAGACGAAATACTAATTCAAGGATTGTACTGTGGCGAAATGATGACATCTTGCGTTCAGTGAAAGAGAACTGTGGCCTAAATACCGATGCTTTTACACTCAAACGTTGGCCAAACGTTAGGGTAATATCTACTTACGGAAGCGTCACACATCACAGGCAGTTCATTTACAAAATATTACTCACCAAGCTCTTTC